GTAGAATCAGACTCAGAGGAGAAAAGACCAGGAATGAACGGATGTCTGGACCAGGCAGGTGTGGACGTAGTAGATGCCAGGTGGAAATCACTTTTGTCAGCCCCAGTAAGAGGGAGAGGTACCTCATCCTTAAGAGTCGGAGCTGTGAACTATTTCCATCGACTTCCTAGATCCCTTTCTGGTCCTTGTCACCTGTCCTGCTCTCCTAAGGCTGATCTCTAGACATTCCCTAGGACTCCCGTCGTCCCGGTAAGAACACCTGCCCGGAGGACCATCTCCACCAAGGGAATGACAACAGCTCTGGCTGTGAACCGCTGCAACCCATGAGCTCTGTTTCTAAGCATCTTAAGTAAATCTAATGTTGCTACTAAAAAAATGACAAAGAAAACAAAGGAAAAGCTCCCTTCTTTTTCCAACGGTGGCTTGCCATTTCACACATTCCGAATCATAATCACTATTTCTATGCCCAATGAAACGCTACATATTTAGAAATCATTTTCCCTAGTGTCTTTTTCTTACAGGTTGTCACAGGGATGGTGAAAACAATGCCCCTTCTGTGTCCTGCCACACGCACTCCCGAGTCAGCCCACATCTCCTGCTCCGGAGGATCATCCGTTCTGGACACCAGCTCTCTCCACCTGGGATGGACATCCCACCTGGGATGTCCCCATGCCAGTTAGAAAACCTTGGCCCCTCCTTCCACTCCCCATGGACTGGCTGACCCCTCTGACGACATCGCCCACACTCTGACACTGGGCCCGGAAACATCAGGGACCCGGGGAGCCACACAGGCGTCCATGAGGTAACCTGTGACCAGAAGCACCACAGACATTTACTGTTTCTCGTCCTCCCCCAGGCACTGCCTCAGGCTCTCCTGGAGGCACATGGGGCCCTGCACAAGAGGGGTGTTTCCAGGAGTGAGGGCCGGAGGCATCAGCCTGCACTGACATTGCCTTCAACACGAGGTCAGAGGGCACGGACATTAATTCTCAAAAGTGATGTGAGCCCTAAAGGAGAAAGGGCCAAAGCTCCTTGAACATATGGCCACTTTTCTGAACCAGAAGACGTATCCACTGGGCCAGCGTCACACTACGCGCTGCACACGGAGGTGGATGATTGGAAGGCAGAAGCCCTCTGGACCCTAACGTCTGTGACTGTCACTGGTGCAGTGGGGGGACCACAGCATGCTCCACAGGATCTGCACGGACGAGAGGTGGGTTCTGTAGACTGGCAGGAAGGGCTGAGTGTGGGGAAAGAGAAGGGGCATCTCAAGGAAGGACACCGGGGCTCACCTGGCTCGGCCGTGGACTTGGACGGGCCCGTGGTGACAAGAGAAGGAGGGTTACACACAGCACTCGGGGCCTCAACTAGAACCGGAGGCGGAAGAGCCTCGGGACTCACACGCTGAGCTTATGCTCGTCTTGTGCGGACGGACACGTGCGTGCCCAAGCCCACCGTGCACCCCTTAGACCTTCACGGAGCCGCTGCCTACATTAGTACCCGTTGCCTGCACCCCTGAGCTTGAGGCTCCCGCTTCAGAAATACAAAGGCCACTGCTAAGCCCGGGACAGGCCACAAGAGCCAGTGCATCAACACCTCGGAGCAGCAGCAGCAACCCTGAGCAATGACTGCACGAAGACCCTCAAATGCCAGCCTCCAGGTCTGTGATCCTGAAGATGGAGGATAATTCCGGAACACCCTCCATGTCCTCTCACTCTGGAACCCACTGCCTACCTCCCTGGTGAGCACGTGGTTTGTTACCAACCTGCCATCCCACCACCCTCACCCCTCTTCATTACAGCCCTTCCTGCCTGTCCTAAGTGAGCGATTGGCCCCTGAGTCCTTTGCTCTGCCTCAGCTGCTGGGAGCACTCAGAGTAACACAGTCTTGAAGGACAGAAGATTTTTAACAACCGGATCCCAACGTGCTGTCCCTAAGAGGGAGCCTCAGGTACTATTGGGGGTGGGAGGTGGGTGGATGTTCCTGTTCCAAACGAAAGGCTCATTGTTCTGCCCTCAGTTAGCTCGACCCTGGCTCTGAAGGCCAGTGTCCAGTCTCCTCCAAGCCAATGCTGGCCACGGCTCGCTGCTGGGGGACCTGTACAGACCAGGCTTTTTCCTTCGCTAGGGACCCGGACATTACACCTCCAGGCCAGCTGTCCCCAGGTCATCTCCAGGGCTTCCAGGTAACCTTGACAGTTCTCGGAGTGGGCCTCTGAGGTGACAAACTATATTTCTCTGAATATAGTCTGTCCCACGAATGAGACCCAGTGATCTTCCATGCCCACCTGAGCAGATGACACCAGCGTCCTCACTATGGGCACAGTTATGGGACAGCCAGCCTCTATGGGGGCAGCTCCACAGGTAAGACTCTTGCCCTGAGCAGCTCACGTCATCCAGGACAATGGGCCCTGAGCCCTGGCCAAACCGGGCACTTCCTGGGGCCCCCGTGGCCCAGCCACAGCCCAGCTGTCTGCAGACCACGTTGGCGTCTTTTGTATTCCAGCCGTCGTCACACACGGTGCCCCAGGAGCCTTGGCACAGGACCTCCACCCGGCCCTGACACCGGTCACCTCCATTCACCAGCCTTAGGGCCAAGTGATAATCCAGTACTAGAAGAGGATATCGTTATTTGTCATTTTTTTTCTGGGTCCACAGTGAAGGTGGTGTGTAGCCATGACTCCTTCCTGGTAGCCAAGCTTCCTCATGCAGGTTAATGTCCACGCTGTGCAAGGGAAGGTGATGTCCCCGTTTCTTGCACCATGGCTCTGGCCTGTAGGGCCACAGCCCTCACGCCTGAGTTTGCCCCCCTCATCCGGATGTCCTCACGAGCTCCAGGTTGAGACAGAGCCATGATACCAGGATGGGCTCTGCCGTGCTCACTGCTGTGCTCTGGACAGGGACGGCTCCAGATCCAAATACACCCTCCTGTCACCTTGCAACCCATGGCCTGAGAATGCAAATGGCAAGTCAGCCTGGAGTCCTGGGCCCCCAAGGGCTTCGGTGAGTACTGAGAGGAGGACCTTCTGAAACAGGACACCGGTCCCACTATGTTCCTCGGGACCTCTCTGGAAGGTCGTTTTATACTAAGCCTTCTATCTCCCAAGTTTCTCCTCACTCAACGGTATCCGTGAGCTCATGGAGTTTTGTGACGGACAGAAACAGCTTTGGGGAAAGTACCTGTTGCCTCTGTGGACGTTCCTGCGGCAGCAATTGGATCTGTGGGAGGCAGAAAGGAGGGGCCTTGTGTGGGAGCCTCGCTGGGGAAGGTGCTCGTGCTCCCGGGGCCTGGACCGGGCTGCACGGCTGCTCGTTTGGGTCTGAACTGTGGCCTTCGGCAGGTGCTGGGCAGCTCTTCTCATCAGCGAGCTGAGTGAAGACAGTGAGTGGTGAGACCCTCTCACGGATATCACTGCAGTCTCAGAGGCTGTGACATTTTCTGAATTAGCCCATGTGGGCCTTCTTTCGTAGCCCTGCCATGGCCTGGAGCCCAGGCAGCCCTCTTAGGGCTCTGTTGTTGGCAATCTGTGAGTGGTCAGCAAACTGTGGTCCCCAGAGGTACAGCTGGGCGACCTCAGTCCTTGTCATCACACAGCTTGGTTTTCATGACTTCTCTGGCTGTCTGTTTTTTCTGAAGAGGCCTCACCCAAGCCACTGGGAGGTCCCGTCTGACGAAAGCAGGTGGGAGAATCCCTGCAGCCGCCTGCCTGCTTCCTTAGGGAAGTTAGCAGCTGGATCTCTGGGGCAGACTCCCCCGTGCGGGCATGTTGTGGTTTTGCCCCCCCAGTGTTTTAAAAATTGAACCTGAATGCCCAAGCAGGCGCGCTGGGCTCCTCGTTTCTCTGCATTGACTTTTCTTCTCTGATCCCTACAATCCTTTCAGCGGAGACCCCTGCAGTCCGAGGGGTCGATGACAACAGTTGTCAGTAGTTGTATGGACCCTGCAGCCGGCCGCGTTCACCATGTCTGTGCACTGCCTTGTCCCTCGCCACCACCTGGGCACCCCCTTTCACAGGCTACAGATTAAAGATCAGGAGCCCAGCCTCAGAGAAGTCAGGCAAACATCTGAGGTCGTAAAGCTCTCAAATCTATACTTCAAACGCAGAACTAAAACTTGATCTCAGGCATCCTTACTGCGAATCACAGGGCCATTATAAATGATGGGCACCATACAGGACCTTGTTCTCCAATGGAAATATGACCCATTTATGGAAACACTGTCCCAAAATTCCCTTTTGAAGATTAAAAAGGTAATATTCTGTTTCATAATGGGCAGGAACATGATCACATTGAACACCTACAGGGGCGAAACCATGAATGCCTGTGTGTGCAGCCACTCCGACGGTAGCTGTGAAAGGGTGAAAGGGGAAGAGCCCCGAGCTGTCTGTCGTGGCTGCAGAGGATGCAGCGTGGCCTGTGTGTGTTTGCCAGAGCAGAAATCCTGTCCCACCTCGCCCAACCAAGATGCTCCTCGTCCCAACAAAAAGGAGTTAACACCAGCCCCCTTCTGCCTAGCAGGGCAAAGAAGTTAGGAGCCGGCCTCAGCAGGGGTCGGGCCACTCGAATGAGACTCCGGCAGCTCCCACCAGGGACCACACCCGGGCCTGGAACCACGAGAACGCAGCGGGGGTGTTAGAGGGAAGCCGAGCCGAACACACACGAGTGCACGTGCACGTCAGCAAAGTGGGAGGTGGAAGTAAATGCCATGGTATAAGACAGACCAGGAGGAACGGGACGATGAGCCTTCTGGGGGAAGAGAAATCCCCTGGGTCCTTTGGCAACGGCACTCACGGGCTCTTATCCAGAAGGGTCTGGAAGCTCACTCAGAACTTCTTTCACAGGTCAGTGCACGAGACCATTTAACTACAAACGAAAGCCCCTGCTTCTCATCCCAGGCGCAGGGGCTGTTAGGCTCAGCACGTCACACTACAGAACTCCAGGCTTTGTCACAGCTGGTCACCTGGGCTATGCTGATGCTAACCCGCCATTGGCACCCACAGTGTTTAAAACCAAATACAGTAGTCCCTCCCCATCCACAATTGTGTTTTCCACCGTTTCAGTTACCCACGGTCTGAAAATATTAAATGGAAAATTCCAGAAATAAACAATTTATAAGTTTTAAATTACGCGCTGTTCAGAGTAGCACGATGAAATCTCATACCATCCCGCTCCGTCTGGCTTGGGACGTGAGTCATCCTTTTGTCCACCAATATCCACGTTGTAGACGCAACCCGCCTGCTAGTCACTTAGTAGCCATCTGGGTTATCAGATTGACTGTCGTGGTATCACAGTGCTTGGGTTCAAGTCACTCTTATTTTACTTAATAATGGCCCCAAAGCACAAGCGTAGTGATGCTGGCATATTGTCATAATTATTCCACTTTATTATTATTGTTGTTAATCTCTTACTGTACCTAATTTATAAATTAAATTTTATCATAGGTATGTGTGTATAGAAGAAAAAAACACAGTATATTTAGGACTCAGTACTGTCTGTAGTTTCAGGCATCCACTGGGGGTCTTGGAACATAGACCCCACAGATAAAAGGGGATACTGTAAACTGGCGAGGCTTTTGCCATGGTCTGAGCTCCTCATTCTGCAGGATTGTGCCCCTGTACGGTGGGGGTAGAGTGGCCACCAGAATCACTTTTAGTTCCAAAAATGTGATTCTCATTTCAAAGCCCACACTGAACAAGATGGGACAGTCAACAAGTCCCATAGGCTCCAGCTATTTCCTAAAGAATCTTCTTCCAAGAAAGGCAATGCCCTTTTTGGAGGGAAGGGGGTACACAGTTCTGGTTCTTGGGGGAGGGAGGGCTCAAATATTCTCCGTCCTTCCCTCCCTTGCCCTCACCCTCTCCCCACTTCACACGCTGTCCAGGAAGGGAGCAACCCTTCAGTCCTGCTGTAAAGACCTAATTCCATATAACCAAGAAAAAGGGCAAATAACAAATAGCCAATTTGAAGACAAAAATATGCCTGCCAAATTTGTAAGAAAAAATGGCGTTAAGGGTATAAACTTAAAGCATTTCAACGTAAATTTTAAAACACCAAGGCAAGATGGACACAGACATGAGAGTCATCACGGAAAGGTGCGTGACCATAAAGCCCCAGCACACGTGGAATGAAAATGCTAGCTGGATTTTGAATTTATGCAAAAGGGGCTTTCCCTGCTTCCCCCATGATCCCCGCATCCTAGACTGTGGATTCTGGAGGGGCCGAGCACAGAGCCTGCAGCTGTACACCCGGGTGCAGAGACAGCCAGGCCCAAGGGTCAGCGCAAACAAAATGGAGCTTACCAGAGAGCACGGTTGTTGGGTACGGCCAACCTGCAGGGGAGACAAGGCAATGTTAGGAAGGAGCTGGCAGGGGCTTGGCATCAGCAGTGGGCCTGGTGACCTGTGCCAGCTGAGAGTCGAAGGCTCTCTCTCTAAGAGATGGCTGAAGGCTATGGAGACAGAGCTGTACACAGAAGGAGGTCTCACTCCTGCCACCACTGGGGGAGAGATGGCATCATTTTATGAGCATCTTGGAATAAGCAGAGTCACCACCCAGAAAATGCCCACACTGTGCCCTGCCAGTCCCTGGGGGGGCAGATCCACAAAGACCAGTCATGGACCTCCCACTTCAACCCTCTGTAGGAAAGCATCACTTGGCCACACCCTCCCCACCCCAAGTACATGAAGATTTCTCTTCTCCCTTCACTCAGGATCTCTGAACTTTGCATCTTGGATGAGAATTACCCAGGAACAGAACTACCTTCTTCCCCCAGCAGCTCTGAGTGTCTTGGTGAGGCACATCTATGGGCCAGGTGACCTAAGGCTGTCATGTACATTGAACTAATCTGTGTGTTTGCAACTAAGCTGGCATGATTAACACATTCCAGTGTCACCAGGGAAAAATGTTACTAAGAAAAAGCTTATCTGACTTTCCTTGGATCTGCAAACCTACAGGAAAAGATGTAATTTGGCCGGAAGGGATAGGCGAGTTAAGATGCTACCAGACTTACCTAGGCCAGGTGTGGATTGGGTCTGAGCAGCTGGGGGAAAGAGAAAGTAATATTAGACATGGGCATATCACAGAGTAGCTCTCCCAAATGCATTCAAAGGGTGAACAAGCTCAGTGGGGAAGACGGAAAATGCCAGGTGCAACAATGACCTCCCTAGGGTCAGACTGTGAAGAGGGCACCTCTTGAAGCCCTAGGGCAGAGTTAAGTGGCCCAGAGTTTCCCTTCTGGGATGAAGCCTGAGTGTGGACCCCAGTTGCTGAGCCCCCCAACACCCATCTGCAGGCACCATCTGTCTGTCTTAGGGCAGAGTAGCACCTGCCACAACCCCAGGTCAGAGGCACACAAATGAAGTTCTGAGAGCAGGACCAGGGGCCCTAGTCAGAGTCCATACCGGAGAGGGAGGCCCAGGAGTCTGGGAGGCCCACCTGAGCAGATGACTTCAGCATCCTCGTGGTGTCCACAGTTATGGGACAGCCAGCCTCTGTGGGGGCAGCTCCCCAGGTAGGACTCTTGCCCTGAGCACTGCACATTGTCCAAGACAATCGGCCCTGAGCCCTGGCCAAACTGGGCATTTCCTGGGGCTGACATGGCCCAGCCACAGTCCAAATGCCTGCAGACCATGCTGGCATCACTGGTGTCCCAGCTGTCATCACACACGGTGCCCCAGGAGCCTCAGTACAGGACCTCCACCCGGCCCTGACAGCGGTCACCTCTGTCCACCAGCCTCAGGGCCAAACTAGAATCAGATCCTAGGAGAAGGCACAGCATTTCTCCTGTATGTTCCTGCTTAGGGACAAGGTCTCAAGGCCTGAAGGGCATTCAGAGCCTTCCCAGTGGGCAAAGATCTCTGAGAGCATCTCCAACTGAGCTAGGCTTTAATACATCTTGAATAAGAGTATTTCACGGGTGTAAGGACAGTGATTGCTCTGCCCAAACCCAAACCTCTAGAGGTTTAGGTGGTTGGAACTGCTCTGCCCAGTTTGCGTCCTAGAGATCCCAGAAGGGTCCTAGAGATCATCCACATGATCCTTCTAGGAAGACCATGGGAGAGGCCTGATTCCCGCAGACAGGAGACCCATGATGCCCTCTGCCATGGGAAATGGGAAGTGACTCCCCTTCCAAAGCCCAGGCTACCAGAACCTCAGGCCATATTGACTATGCCTCTGAGGTCTCTCACTGGAGGTGCCCCAGGGGGACATGCAGGACCTCTGACACCCACAGGCTACAGGATCATGATTCCTCCATGTTGAGAAGGAACCAGGCTGGCCTGATTTGGGCTCAGGGAAAGTGTGTAGGTAAGGACGCTGCCCCAGCAGTTGGGCTACCTATGCTAGTTAGGACCTACCTCTCCCAGCCCTGTGACTAGAGATCCAGCACCCTGGGTTGGCCAGGGGTCAGTGTGGGTTGGTGAGGACCACAGGGCAGGCACTGAGCATGGGCAATAGGACCCCTAGGGACAGGACACCAGGCTCCACCATGGAACTCCTTGGAAATGCTTCTTCCGGTTGGTTCCTCCATAGTCTCAGGGACATGATCCGTGAAAGAGATGCCTGTTCAAGCCTGAGGCCTTATTCAGAAGGGCCCCTTGTCAGCCCAGCTCCCCCAACTCCTGCGCCCTCTGCACATCTTTTGGATCCAAGAGGAACCCATGGGTGTAGTGCAGTAACAAGCCCACCGGGACCCCACGTAACAGACACCTGACATACCTGGTGCTGTAGTTGATGGCAGGGGTTCCTCTGTGGCAGACACAGAAGCTGCAAAGTGGAGAAGGAGAGAGGAAGAGCTCACTCGGGGTTGGCCCTCGTTTGAGGAGGGTTGGCCCCCTGCTTCTCCCAGCTCTGAAGCAAGGGCTGGGAGCACAGATCCTGTGCCACCAAGTGCCAGTCTGACAACGTGCCACCCTCCCACAGGGCTGGTTTGCCGTGTGCACATCCTTTGCTCCTGTCACCCTCCTCCTACCTCCTCTGCTGCCACACACTCCACCAAAAAGGTCACCCAGTTCATTAATAGCCCAAGATCCGACTTCAAAAGACATCTAGCTGTTTCTATTGCTCAAACACACCCTCAAGTGACAAATATTTCCATCACTGGCATATTTCTGTGAAGCTGGCCCCAACCAAGAGGAACGGTGGTTCCCAAAGATGCATTCCAGAATGCCAAAATGAACCCGCTCGGAGCGGCTCCATGGAGGACACTCCCCTGGAAGCCCAACCTCAAGAGGTGGCTGGATTATCACAGTCACATCTTGGGCTTGGTGGCACGTGCACAGTCCAATCCACATAGCAAATGCCCGAGGTTGCCCTAAAAGTGGACAGTTTACCTAGAAACTCCTCTTTGGGGGACACACACGGGGCCAGCATCCTTGGAGGTTTCTTCCTGGATTAAAGGAGCCCTTGGTGTCTGTGCACATCCCAGCACAATGCGAACACGTGGCCAATCGGCACTGGGATTCGCTGGGTCAGGTCGGGGAGAATGTCTCTTTTCCACAGAGGGGATAAGTGTCTTTTGCTCATCACTTAATCCCCAATAAAGAGAACATATTAGTTATTTCTCAGTTTGATCTGGTATCTAAGTGTTAAAGACCAGCAGTTTCCCCATCCTCTGCTGCCTTTAAAGGAGGAGAAACTGCCACCTAGGAACACATTTATTTGGTCACCCAAGCCAGGGACGGCTGTGCCGCTGCTTGTGGGAACCAGCCCACAGAGCGAGTGCAGCAGCGGGAGGGGCTGAGACTGAAACCCACCTTAGGAGGCCAGGCAGGCCCCTCAACCTCCCCGAGCTTTGCATTGTCTGTGAAAAGGGACAGTGATACCTGTCCTCTAACATCAAGTAAGGCATGGCTTACAGCAGAGCAGGTAAACTGCAAAGTATAGACACATGCCTGTGCCGTGACACTGACTCTGAGTCTGTATCTGTTGCACTTGTACCAGCACGGGGTGACGACATGCACACTACCTGCGCACACAACACTGGCATCATCCTGGTGGCTACATTCATGGTGGTACCATTCACTGTGGGGACACCTTGACAGGTAGCGCTCCAATCCAATGCAGTCCACATCACCAAAGAGAATCCGTCCCGAGCCCTGACCAAAGTGGGCCCCGCCCAGGGCTGACATGGAGCGGCCACAGCCGAGCTGCCGACAGACCACATCTGCATCCCAGGTGTCCCAGTTGGCGTCACACACGGTGCCCCAGGAGCCTTCGTACAGGACCTCCACGCGGCCCTCGCACCGGTCACTTCCGTTCACCAGCCTCAGCGGCAAATCTGCATCGACACAGCAGGGCGCCCTGGGTCTTGGGGCTCCCTGCCCCCTCAGCCTGCCTCCCTCCTACCACCACCCTGCTCCATCTCCCCCATCGACTCTTCTCCCTGAAGGAACTTAACTATCACCGCTCTGCAAAGTACTGTCTTTGCCCTCTTCCCGCTCTATCTTTTTCCCCCAGAGAACCCCGTGTACTCTAAGAACTTTCCAGAGAGCATCCCCAAATCCACCTCTCCAGTCCTGACCTGGCTCTGACAAGCCCTGAGCTCTAGACCAGCAATTCTATGGCCTTCTGGACCTCTGAGCCCCACCACCCCAGACTGAGCACAGCCTCTGTCCTCCACTGGAATCCACGGTGTCACCGTGCTCCTCATTACCTGCACTGGAAATGTGGCATCATGTCTGATTCCTCCTTCTTCTCACCTCTTATATCCAACTTGTCTCCCAGGCCGTTTCACCAGGTTAGACCCTCAGCATCCTCTGGAACCTGGCCTACTGCCAGTTGATCTCTCTGGCCCTGCCCCTCCTTCCTCTAATCCACCCACATTCATGGATTCAACAGCGTTTATGGAGTGCTTACTCCATGCTAACAGGATTCATCTGTCTCTAGTTGTTCCCCAAGTTTGATGTTTACAAAATGCAGATATACGGAACTCACTTTCCTGCTCAAAACACTTCAGCGTACTCTCCACTCCCCTCGGGATCAAATCCAAGATGGTATTCGTCCAGGGGTGGCCTCAATCTACCCTCCCACCTCCTCTCCCAGGAAGAAGACCACTCTGGGAGCCAATAGGCACCATGTTCCTGCCTGGCATGATGCCACTAGATCACCCACAGGGGAAAAGCTGCCTTGATTACACAAGGAAAACAGGCAGCAGACCCTGAGGGATCCAACGTCCTAAAGTCCTAATGGCAGGAGTTGAATCCTGGGTGTGGCTTTTCAATGGTTGGTTTGAGGTTATGAGAGATTTGTGGTCAGGGATTGAAAGGCTGGAATGGGATGCAAGGGAAGGGGGCAGGTTGCTGTTGTTGCTAGGGGTGAGGGTGAGGTTCAGGGACAGAGGGAGGAATGCACCATTTGCAGGGCATGCCGGATGTGCACTCTGGGCCTCCTCGGGCCTTTCTGCTGCCCCTCCTGGTCAGCCCTGTGAATGGTCGCTCCAAAAGAGCTCAGCCTCCCAGCCTCAGCCTGCCCCTTGCTGGGTATCAGTCAGAAAGCTGCCCCTCAAGTCCCCCAGGCCATTTCTGGATGAAATGAGAGCAGGGCATGTAGAAAGGGAGGGACTGACCTCAACAGTGCTCCCCAAACACACGAATGACCCTGATATCTCAAACTTGGGCACAAAGGTCTGCATACTCTCTCTCACTGCAGAAAGTAGGGATAGACGGTGCATTTAGTAAGAGTCATAGACAGCAGGAAAAGGCACCTGTCAAATCTCTGCCCTGCCACTTACCAGACATATGACATTAGACATAGAAGTATTGACAAATTACCTAACTGTGCCCTGGTTTTCCCATCTGCAAAATGGGTGTAATCATAATACTTAAAGTGTTTCTGGGACAATTGCATTAAAATAGCACTTACTATGTACATTAGTTGAGCACTTACGATGTGCCAAACAATATTTTCAATGTTTTTATATATTAACTTATCTAGTACATGAAGATAATTTTGTGCGAGGTACATAACAAGTGCTTGGTGGATGTTAGTTACCTTCAAGATAACTGTCACTATTAATGAGAAGAGGCACTGATTTTTTGTTCAACTATCTCTCTTCATACCAAGCTAAAGCTGATCTCAACCAATGAATGACTGAGAGACAAAGAGAAGGAGATTGACAAGTGGGATTGGCCAAATGTGCGCCTGGGACATGCCCAGGGTCTTGGCACCCACATCTCTTCTCTCTCGTGCATCCCTGCATTCTGAAAGGCAGGCACCTGCTCTGTGGCCAGGGCTGCACTCAGCCTCAAACGGCCAACAGCAGCAGAGCAGAATTGGCCAGCCCAGCCACTAAGCAAAACCCCTGGAAGGAAGTAAAGACAAAAGGTCTTACCATGGACTGTAGCATATTGGTCTAATTCACCTGGAAGGAAACCAAATTCATCTTAGAAAAGAGGTTCCACTGTTTAGAACTGATGTACCAGTCACAGAAACTGGCTTCCGCTTCCCGTTACAATCACACCAGGGGGCACTGTGGTTCAATCTTGGGTTTGTGTGCCGCAGCATTCTTGCTAAAATGAATTTTTCATAGCAAATTAAAGTAGGTGGGTTGGATCATGAGGTGCTCAATAATTTTAGAAATAATAAAGCACATCTCTTTACTAGGCCCCCTAACACTACAGTTTATCGTCACAGGAAGGATATACTATGTGCTCGGGAAGAAGGGCTAGACCAGAGAAGACAGTTGAACCTGGTTGTTCAGGATTCAGGGTAGACAGCTGAATCCACCCTCCAGTCTAAAATTTGAGAACAGTCAGCATGGACAACAGCCACTTGGAGGCCTCCTAAATAAGAAAATATTTTGGTGTCAGATATCCTGTTTCTTCCTACACATACCCTGCACAATTTTTATTGTTTCTTGAAGCAACCCAAAATCCAGAGAACCCCAGGTCTTCATCATCAGTGAGGCCAGACAAGGTCCACTGGACTCGATTTTAGTTTTTGAGTTTCTTTATGGGCTGCTCTAACTATATTTTTGAGGATTGATATTTC